CTCCCCTCCACTGCCTCCAAGCTCATTGTCCCCCAAGCTCGCACAGCCTGCTTCTACCTCCTTCCCAAAATCCACAAATATTATCTTCCCATTATTTCTGCCAGCTCCTGCTCCACAGAACTCATCCCTTCCTACCACAAATCGATTATCTTCTCCCCTTGTTCAGTCCCCAAAATCCACAATTCTTCTGATGCTTTATGTGCTGTTTCAGAATTTTCAGTCCGCGGGGTCCACTCACCTCATCTTCATCATGGACGTGCAATCCCTTTACACATTCATCCCCCATCAGCATGGTTTCAGGGCTTTCTACTTCTTCCTGGAGAAAAAGCCTGAACCATCCCCATCCACCACCAACCTCCTCCACCTGGCCGTGCTCATCCTCACGTTGAATAACTTCTCTTTTTATCTCTTCTCATATTCTTCAGGTCAAAGGTGTCGCCATGTGTACTCGCATGGGGCACAATTATGCCTGTCTCTTTTTGGGGTACATGGCATCATCGGTGCTGCTGCCCTCTCTAGTCCAGTGTTGGAAAAGTTTATCAATTTCACTTCCAATTTTCATCCTGCTCTCACCTTCACCTGATTCATCTCTGACTCCTCCCCTCCCTTCCTTGACATCTTTGTTTCCATTTCTGGGTATAAGCTGGGCGCCAACATCACAATATCCATTACAAACCCACCGACTCCCACAGTTACCTTGACTATAAATCATTAAGCCAACTCCATTCCATTTTCTCAGTTTCTCCATCTCTATCGCATCTGTTCTGATGATGCCAGCTTACACAAGGGGCTCCGACACGTCTACCTTCTTCCTCAATTGAGGATTCCCAACTACCGTGGTTGACAGGGCTCTCAGCCATGTCAAATCCTTCTCCTGCACTTCAGCCCTCATTCCTTCTCTTCCCTCCTACAATGGTGATACAGTCCACTTCATCGTCACTTACCACACCACCAGCATCCACATGCAAAGAATCACTATCTACCATTTTGGCCATGTCCAACTGGAGGCCACGACCACACACGTTCCCCTCCCCTTCCTTGTCAGCCTTCCATGTGGACTATTCTCTCTGGGACAACCTGGTCCACTCCCAACCCTCACGGCACCTTCCCATGCAATTGCAGAAAGTATAACACCTGCCTGTTTATTTCCTCCCTCCTCACTATCCAATGACCCAGGCACACATTCCAGGTGAAAAGGCAATTTACCTGCACTTCACAATCTAATCAACTGTATTGACTGCTCCCAATATGGTCTTGTCTCCACTGGGGAGATGAAATACAGACTGGGCGACTCCTTCGCGGAACAGCTACTCTGTATGTAAAAATGACCCTGAGCTTCCACTTGCCTGCCACTTCAACACACCACCATGTTCCTTGACCAACATCTCTTTCTTGGGTTTGCTGCAGTGCACCAGCGAAGCTTATCACAAGCTAGAAGAACAACACCTCATTTTCCACTTGGAACTCTGCAGCCTTTGGGACTCAATATCAAGTTCAATAATTTTATGGCCTGAACATCTTCATCCATGTCCTTACCTCAACCACCACACGCCAGGCCTTGTCATCACATGGGCTGCTACTACAACCATTCCATTGTCAGCTACTAATCGTCCCAATTAGCAGCTATTGATTAGTCCATGCCGACCTTTACCCATTCCTTTTTCTGTCCAACTGTTGTTCCCTCTTTCTGGGCTTCATCTCCATCTATCGTTTATTCCTCCCGGCTCCCCCACTCCATCTTCAGCATACATACCAACCTTTTCCTGGCTACAATCAGTTCTGCAGAAGGGTCACTGGACCCAAAATGTTAACTCTGCTCTCTCTCCACAGATGCTGCAAAACCTGCTGAGATTTCCAGCATCCGCAGTTCTCTGCTTTTTTTTGATAAGCATACACTATTCATTTGTTAGTAATAGCAAAATCTAGCTCAATATGTAGCAAGCTAATTTAAATTTTGAACATCAATTGACAATCATTGGTGCGATGTATAATTCATTTAAAAACAAATTGGTAATATTTGCCCAGTAATGAGTTTGAGCTAAAAAAAAGTTCACCAATTGGGTCACAACTTATAATTCTACTTAAATATGTGTATAATCTATGCACTCCCAACAGTAACACTGCATGAAGCACAAATTCCATAGTATATCTGACGATATCAGATTACGTTTTGATACGGGATGCAACACACAAAATGCATAAAACACATAAAAGGTTAATGATGAGATGGTAAAAAAAAAAGTAACATGCTGGACATCTTTTCACGCATCTCACCTTATCATCTATCATATCCAGGCTCTGCCAAGTTAGCAACAAGAGAAATGAAGGAAGAATATTTCAGAACACAAAAAAGTAAGCAAATACATTAAAACAATGTTTGCAATGATCAGCAGTGATAACTTCAATTTAGACATTCTTTTGTTTACACACCAAAAAAAATTGAGAGAGATCCACTAATTTGTGGGGAACACTTACTGGTTTTAATAAAAAAAAAGCTCTAACTCAAATTATTTCACTTCTATTCAAGAATACCACTCTTACTACCTTCATGTTTTAGCTTCTGTTTTTCAAAATTAGAAAACAAGATACAAAATTTATTTCAGAAATTATGCAATGTGATATGAAGATGCCAAAATTAGTATTTCAGAGGAATGAGATTAAATAATCAATGGAGCTTGCTCCAAACAAATCTTTTCAGTTATGTTGTGTTTTATTCTGATCCTCCTATTTTATTCTTATCATTCGCAGGATGGGACTGTACAGATAAAATGTCATGAACAACTGATATCAGTGCAAGGAATGGAAAACTTTTTGTATCCGATATTATTGATCATTTCTAAATTGAAGACTGCACAAACCACATGCAGAGTAGAACACTTTATGGAATTCTTAATAGTATAATGCAGGTAATGCTAATGTCTTGGCAAACTGAATGACATTTGGATATTTTTCACCAATTATCTGGCTGGCTCACATTTGGGTAGTAAGGTCTGTACTAAAAAGCTGAATCTGGGAAGCAGATGTGTGATAGGTAAGGGCAATTGGATTGCAGGTCAGCAGGTAATTGTTGACAGTGCTTTGGACTGCAGATTTGGAGATCATGGAGATGTCTTCAGACTGTGGTTTTGGGAAGACATAAAGGCATTTGGACTGCAATTCAGGGGAAATCATTTGGAGGGTTTTCGATTGGCAGTTGACTAGAGATCACAGGGAGGTCTTTAGATTGTGGATATTATGGGGAGATTATGCCTGATGTTAGCAGGTTAGAGGAGGTGGTCCTCAAATTACAGATCACAGGAGATGGAAAATTCAGTCTTGGGGAGAAAGGATTTTTGCTTCACGTTTACCTTGGAGGGGTCAGGAAAAAAAAATTCCAGTCCACAACATTTACATGCTGGATCCAACTATTTCCACTTCTCTTTACCTACTGAGTGTCCTTTGAGCCTTGGAATAACAGCCTGCAGCTATTGCGCGTAAGACTGTGTAAAATCTGAGGCACATCATCTCATTATTATATTTCTATTACTAATTGCCATTTGAGTGCAGACCCCACTTCCCATGGACCTATGACCTGCCTGGTTACAGTAGATGTGGTTGTGGCAAACTGGACACAGGTTTTTTTTGCAGAATTTAACTGCACCCTCCAATTTGCATTCTGGGCGATTAAAATTCATTCTAATATGTCTGAACTTCAGGAAAACACTCCTTTGTTTGTCAGTGTGAAATTTTTCATTTTATACACTAAGCAACTTCAACGTAATAGAAGTTTGAAAATTTTTCGTATGCTGTTGACTTGTGACTTTATAAGCAAAATGGAAAACAAGCAAAATAATTTCACTAAGGAACTTTCATGTCAACCATCTGGAATCAAACTCAGGCCTCTGAAATAAAAGTATAACATTGAACCCAGAACACCACTGACTCGCCCAGTCAAATCAAACCCCGTAAGACCAGATGTTCTTTTCCCCTAATACTTGAGATGAGATGTGAATTTCAATAAGGGGCAGGAAATTCCATACCATCTATGATGCATCATACAAGGCTATTTGTAGCCTGACATTCCTGCAGAATTCTAGCACATAATGTGAAAGCACTCTAAGAAACAGTTGAGATGACCTCATTCATATTTCTATTACTTAATTTGATAGTTAAAAAGGGCCATGGGAAAAGTACTGCATTCTTAAGAAATAGCTTCAAACAGAATGATATTGCAGCATTTTGAAATATCTATCATGCAATGATAGACATTGCAGTCACCTTAACAGAGAGTAGATGGTGGCAAAATGGCTTCCTGATAGGACTACATTGGAAACAAAAAGTGCTGGTGATCACAGCGGGTCAGGCAGCATCCATGGAGAGAAACCGAGCTAACATTTTGAGCCTGTATGACTCTTCATCAGAGCTGAAGTGAAGTGTGGAGGGGGCAGATTTATGCAATAGTTGGGGGGGGGGGGGGGGGGGGGGGGGGGGGCGGTGGTTTGAAGTGCTGTGGGAGAAAGGATGCTGATAGTTCAGATTAGTTCAGTGATCGGAATGAGAGAATGGCAGAACAATGGTGTGTCTACCTGCCAGACTGGAAAACACAGACAGTCGCACTGGGGTGGGAGGAGTGGAGCGAGGGCATGGTGAGACAGAATGTAACAAAAAAAGTTAAAAGAAAGGGAAGGAATGGGTTTACAATTTGATGGTGTTGAACTCAATATTGAGCCCAGAGGGTTGAAAAATAGAATACAGTGGAACTCAGGCAGAACAACACCACACTACTCTTACTCATTAAAAGTACATTATTGCCAGAGAACAGGAAGCAGATTAACTGTCAGTTTTGGCTTGAATGTTGGGCAGACATGGAGATGCAAGAACAGGATAAGTTGCAAAAATAATTTCCAATGAAGTGGGTAGGGAGTGGTTGCCTTATTTCTCAAAGTTGGTCCCATACAAAGACTGACAATAAATAGACCAAAAGTCTTCAGTTTTGCTTTCTCTATTCATAATTTACCTACCTCATCAGAGGAGAGTGCCAATATTAGGGAACGCCCTGTAGAATTTGGTTCTGCAACCAATCCACTCAAATCAGCAGAACTTGTGCTACTGGGGCTAAAGTCATCAATGTAGGTGAAATTCTGTAAATCAAAGATTCTGAATGGTAATAAGATATTTAGTGAATGCAAGTTGCATTAGATTTAAATGAATAGTCAAAGTAATAATAGTATGTAACATCAGAATGCACTCTCTACTGAAATCAGTGAGAGATGAGAGTCATGTAAAACAAACAAGGGGGCACGTGGTTCCTCTATTAATAGAAGATGAGAACATGTCTGTTTGAATTAGATTGAATTAATTACCTGCTAATGAAAGTGCAAAAACGCATGGTTTTGGAATAGGTCTTGGACTTGGTTCATGGGTTATTCCAAGAAAAATTGGATCTTCTCATTGTTCGTTAAAATAGAAAATTTGCCTGCATCCTGTTCTAGCAATGGACTTCAGAAATACAGTGTCTTGTTTCTTGATGAATCTATGCAGTTTTTGTATGAAAACTTTAAAGTAATGACATTGTCTGATTTCAAAAACAATGTAATGACCATGTATTGAGTTGAAGAGTAGTTTTAAATTTATTCTGGAAACTGCTTTGAAAGTTTTAACAAAAATCTATTAAAATTTAAATGTGATCTGAGTTGTTGTCTCAAGCCTAGAAGTTACAAAAGGAGATGTACCTGCCAGTTTGTCTTTATCATGCTTTGCTTCTATTTATTGTGGTGAAACAGAATAACAATTTTATTAACATTATAATATTCACAGAATGATAATCACCCTCTGTCTCCATTCATGAGATCCCAAGACAGGAACCCAAGTGTAATTTAACGTCTCCATCCCTAATAAACATCATCGGACCATCTAACACATTACTTTGGCCATTTACTTTGCAGCTCAAGGACAAGCACAACTTGTATGCTTCTGCTAAGTTGCTTAGTGTGCAGGGATCACTCAATTTGCACTTACTTTGAGGTAGCCAGTCTCTGTGGGTTTAATTGCTTTTTAGAACTGAGGGAGAAGTAAGCAGCTTGTGAACAGCGCTAACAGTGAAGGTGGTTGACATGTCGCTGTATGGCACTAGGCGACATCAACGTCACACCTGCAGCATCTGCCAGAAGCTGACATGGCAAATACGTAGCATGTGCTTCAGTCAAATGTCTAAAAGGCAAAAGGGTACAGTGCAGTCAATCAAGCGGCTTGTCTAATTCCAGTCTAGGGGTTGGGCAAAGTCAGCCAGATACTTAGTCCTATCTGAATCTAGTCTTTACAGTCCCAGGATCAAGCTGTGTTCGGTCCCGAAATTCGAGTTTCAGGCAGGGCTTGCAACTTATTCATGAGAACATATAGTCAGAAGCTTGACATCTCAAATTGAAAGTCAGCTATGCATTAACTGCACAAAACGGCTGTCAAAGCATGCAAAGTTTATTACTTTTTACCCTTTAATGCAGAGTAAAACTTTTGGAATCAGTGTAATTGCAATAATCATGATTGCAGTGATTCAGTAATGTCACCAGTAATGGCTACAATTAGCATTTCATTGACAGATTATTCATTGTTCTTGCCACGCATACTTGAACAATAACTTCAAGCAATCATGATCACTACATTCACTGCACTAATTGTCTCCTTGTCATGTTGGTTAATTGAATGTAATCAGACAAACATTCATAAAAGTGTCTCCTGAGCTCTTTCTATATGAATAGCACACAGATGAGGTCCTTGTGCTTTGTTTGCACAGAATTGATATCAAGAGATTTCGGAAGCACAATTTTTAATATTTGGAGCTGCTGGTGATAGCTTGTCATGTGCAATTGTTCTGATGGCATGACTTCAAGTCCCCCCATGGCAAACAGTGAAATTTGAATTTTATTTTAGGGCTCTTGTGATATAAAGGTAGATACACATCTTTGAGCCAGGAGGCCCAGGTTCAAGTCCTGCCTGTTGCAAAGGTGTCATAACATTCTTGAACAGGTTGATTAAAAATGTTTAGAAACATATTCTACGGCTAGGAATAGAAGACAATGCTTCGCAGCTGCTCAGAAACTCTGGGTGGCCATCCCATCCCAGGGGCCATCAAGGCACAGTTGCTCTAATTTTGTGTGTCACATTTTTGTGACTCATTGCAAGGAGCAGCTAGGGAGTTGTGTAAAGGACTGGGAGATATCTGTGCTGTAACAGATGCTATTTTCCTCAGAGCACAGTTCTTCATATCTTCTCCCTGTGAGGAGGAGAGTCAAGCAGCTTGGGCAGTGGGGCTCTCCATCACTGGCTTCTCTCAGGTTCAGGTACTATTGATTACACCCACAATGCTTGGAGAACACCCTCTCATCAAACTACAGAAGAGGCTTCCATTACATTGATGTTCAAATTATATTGACCACTGAAGCTAAATCTTGGGCGTCTGTGTCAGATATCCTGGGAACTCCTAACATTCTTGTATACTAGAAGATTCACATCCCTGCATCCTTCCAAGGGCCATGGGCCATACAGACACAGGGCTCTCTCCTCCAAATAAAAGCTAATGACATCTTAATGGAATTCTCAGACTGATGCAGAATGAAGACACCATGCAACTCATACTTGTACAAGGATCATAATGAAACAGACTAAGGGCCTCCTTAAAGTTGAGGTTTCACTCCCTTGACCGCTCTGGAAGGGCCTTGCAATATAGCCCAGAAAGGATGGACTGCATCACTGTAGTTTGTTGTACCCTTCACAACTAATGTTGCCAAAGGACGGTGTACGTCCCAGATGCAGAAGAGTTGGGCACTGGCAGCAATCTTCTGAGGATAAGGATCAGGCTATTGATAACAAGGGCCAATCAAGACAGTATGCTAGAGGCAAATACCATTGACTGCAAGTAGCTGCAGATAACATAATACAAACTAGATTCCAGAATGAATGTGCAATGCCTTGGCTGTAGTCTTGGTCCTGATTCAAGTATCCCTGGCATCTGAGGCTTTCTGCAGTCAAGGAGTTGGTTGCTTCTGAGAGGTGAGTAATGAGTAGCAAATCTTTGCAATGTCTGAAGAAGCTGCTCATCCCTCACATTCAGAGTAACTTAACCAGGTCTGACAGTGAAAAATACAACAGGGTAGAAAATTTGAGTGTAAGTGCAAGGTTTTTGACAATTATGTACCATCCATGCTACCTATATGCCTCAGTACACTTTTTCATTCCTCTCCCTTCCAATATGTCTAGTAATCTCAACTTTCTCAGTTGGAGTGGAGAGAGCCTGGTCTGTGGTTTGCCCAGTTGGCATGTGGTGCCCATTCCTAAGAAGGTAGTGGTGAGTAGTCTTCTTGCACCATTGGTAATTTATCTGGCACTAGTACATCCATTGTATTATTATAGAGGGAGTTCATGGATATTGACTCAGCAACACTGAAGAAATGTCTATATAGTTCCAAGACACAGTTGTGTGGTTTGGAAGGGAACTTGAAGGTGCCAGTAATCCCATGCATCTGCTACTCTTACACTCGAGAAGTGACAAGTTTGGAAGGTCTATCAAAGAAGGCTTCTGCTTCCAATGTGTGTTAGTTGCGAAGAGATTGAATGTTGAAGGTGATAAATAGAGTGCCAATCAAGCCAGCTGCTTTAAAGGAACTACGAATCCACACTCCAAGGTCTCTTTGTTCAGCAACACACCCCAGGACCAAATCATTAAGTGTATAACTCCTGCCCTAATTTGCCTTTCCATAAAGCAGCACCTCACATTTACCTCAATTAAACTCCATCTGCCACCCCTCAGCCTATTGGCCCATCTGATCAAGATCCTGTTGCAGCCTGCGGTAACTTTCTTCGCTGCCCACTACACCCCTAATTTTGGTTTCATCTGCGAACTTACTAACCCATACCACCTATGTTCACATCCAAATCATTTATATACATGACAAAAAGCAGAGGACCCAGCACCAATCCTTGTGGCACACTGCTGGTCACAGGCCTCCAGTCTGAAAAGCAACCCTCCACCACCACTTAGAGATAGCAAGAACTGCAGATACTGGAGTCAGAGTCAATACAGTGTGGAGCTGGAGGAACACAGCAGGTCAGGCAGCACCAGAGAAGCAGGAAAGTCGATGCCTCGGATCGGGACCCTTCATCAGGACACCGACCCAAAATGTCAACATCCCTACTCCTCCGATGACACCCGATCTGTCATGCTCCTCCAGCTCTACACCACACTGCCTCCACCACCACCCTCTGTCTTCTACCTTCAAGCCAGTTCTGTATCGAAATAGCTGGTTCTCTCTCTATTCCACGTGATCTAACCTTGCTAATCAGTCTACCATGAGGAACCTTGTCGAATGCCTTACTGAAGTCAGATCTTGTGGCTCAGGTGCATGATAAAGATCCTGAAGCTTAGTGGAACAGTGGGAGAGCTCTCCGGGTTTGGCAGCATCCTGTCCCCAGCTTATACCAGCGTGTATGATTCATTTTACTACCAGGCTCACAAAATAGCAAACTTTTCCTTTAGGAGGTGACCAAAAAGAAACATCTCAAAAGCCAGATTTCATAAACAAAATAAACCAAGGTTGATGAAAATTTGAGAGTGTGGCAAAAACCTGTGTTGGATGTAGATGAACCCACAAATTGGTTTATTTCAGTGAAAGAGAACGAACGTGAGCACGCACATAAACATGAATGTGCAAATGCATTTCTTTCACAAACAAGGCCAGAGCAGGAATCAGAGAAGCTGTCCTCCTGTACCATAAGGGCCACCTCCAGTATATAGAGCAATACAGATATCAGAATGTGCATTGGTTAAGGAGGAGAATTATTGCTCAATTACATACTCTTCTAAAAATGCTTGTTGGTAGGAAGTTTATCTCACTTGATGTTGTTCATTTCTCGCTCGGTTTCTCCAATTTGCTTCATCAACATTTTTTTCTCTGTTTCATCGCGGGATAGTTCCATCTTCTTGCTTAGATATTCAAGCCTTAACAGTTTGGGTTCTTGGATATTTCTGCTAGTGTTCGATACTTTTTTTGAATTCATCCATGAGATGAGGGTGTCGCTGGCCAGGCAGCATTTATTGCCCATTCCTAATTGCCCAGAGGGCAGTTCAGCATCAACCACATTGCTGTGGGACTAGAGTCAGATGTAGGCCACACCAGGTAAGGATGGCAGTTTCCTTCCCCAAAGGGCATTGGTGAACCAGATGGGTTTTTCCGACAATCAACAATGGATTCATGGTCATCATTAGATTCTTAATTCCAGATATTTTATTGAATTCAATCTCCACCTTTTGCTATGGCCAGTTTCAAACCCAGGTCCCCAGAAATTTATCTGGGTCTCTGGATTAACAGTCCAGCGATAATATCACTAGGCCATTGCCTCCCCATTCAGACCATGCTAATGCAGTAAGGGTAAATCCAGCAAAGTTTTGGCTATAAAATTTTCTTCACACACTGCCACCAACAGCTCCATCTCCCAACTCCCCTGGCTCACCTGCGACGCACGCGCGCGCGCGCGCACACACACACACAGCCCTCCACTACATAGCCTCAAGTTTAGTGAAGTTTGTTGCAAAAGCACTTTGCAGAAAGCCTTCTTCAAATGATTATTGGTTTTTCAGGTGCATCAGGAAACAAAGTCAATTAGCTTATTTATTATAATGTTTTGAGTGTTTTCATTCATTACTAAGACCTGCATTGTATTTTCTGTTTCTTTGAATTATGGTATCAGTGGAAGTCCCATTAAAAACTGGAAAGCTTCACTAACTGCAGGTTCTTAAAAATATAATCACCTAACATGCATAAATTTTGATTAAATGAGTTGAAACTTTGAATTGCATATCCAAAAAAATGCATACTATGATAGGAGGCCAGAACTTTCTTTGTGTCCAGATTTTTAAAATCACCCTCAAGACCCAATTCCGCAATATTTGCAGTGCTCATAAGATTTAAAATGAGTGTAAGCAAAACTTAGCAGAATGGAATGGAGATTGGGTTTATTCTTTTGTAACCTCTATGTTGCATCTCCATAGATATTCCAATATTCATTGCTTGTTTTAACAGGACAAGGTTAATAGTTTGGGTGTCATGCAGTATCTTGCCTTTTGAAAGCAATGTTTATCAGTTAATGCCCAAATATAAATTTACCCACTTCACATTATGGGTGCAATTATCCTTACAATGAGAAGCTGGCTATGAAGGTGAATATACAGCATTGAATATTGATGGTAATTAATCTAACAATGCACAAGTTTGTAAATGTTCAGGTTGGCGCTGATGTCATCAGATTATAAATTGTATTGGATATATTTTGTATGATTAATGGTATATGATTCATTTTGTGTGGTCAACTTGGTTCCTCAAAAAAAAAGATACGTACATCACAAAATCGCTACGTTACCCCTGTAGTTTAAAGCTAGGCAAAGCAATATGGATTCGTATTTACATTGAAATACTGAGTAATTTTTTTTAACATGACTCAGAAGCCACCTCCCTTCACAGGTCACTTCAGAATCAGCTAACCCTATGGGAATATTCTATGGGGGTACTGCACTGAGCCTCCACACCACTGCAAGATACATTAGCCAAAATTCTCACTCCTTGGTAGCTTTCAGTAATTGCTACTTTCAATGAGTGAAAGTGTTTGAGTATAAATGCTGGATAAGAATGAAGACAATTCTCACCTGTGACGCCCTGACCCTATAAACTAATCTGTCTACAAAGGTTGTTTGAATAATTGGCACATGTTTATGGTGCTGGAGACAAACACCCATGAAACATATCCTAGAAAATGCAGATGGACTAAAAAAAAGGTTAAAAAACAAAAGGGTAGTAAGAAGCAACCGTCTCTCTTACCGTGCTC